GAGGTTTTGGAACAGGTTTTCCAAGCACTACGCAAGGCGCATTTGAAACTCAAGCCACAAAAATGCCGTATCTTGGAAAGTTCCGTAGAATTCCTGGGGCATGTAGTGGATAAGGATGGCCTTCGAACCGATCCCGGCAAGGTAGAGAAATCCGAGACTATCCGCAGCCTACAAATCTAGCACAATTGAGGACTTTTCTAGGAATGACAGGCTATTACCGCAAATTTATCTTCCGATATGCGCAAATAGCACAGCCTCTGTATGACCTCACGAGTACGAAAACCCCATTTCTGTGGACAGGAGCACATCAGCAAGCGTTTGCTACCTTGAAGGACCTCCTGACGAGAGCACCTGTGTTGGGACAACCTGACATAGAGGCTGCACGCAAACGCTCACGTCCTTTCTACATATATACTGATGCTAGTCGCAGCGGACTTGGCGCGGTTCTGGCTCAGGAGGGAGACGACAAATTAATCCATCCCCTACATTTTGCATCTAGAGGGTTATCTCGAGCCGAAAAGAATTACCACATCACAGATCAGGAAGCGCTTGGCGTGATGTTTGCAGTGAAAAAGTTTCACTATTTTATTTACGGAGTGCATACCATCGTAAGAACAGATCATAGCGCCTTGACTTCGCTATTCAAGCGTGCTAACGTCTCTCCAAGGGTACTGAGATGGGCCCTAGAGCTTCAACGATACGATCTGCAAATCGAGTACGTAAAAGGCGCGGCAAATAACGTGGCAGACGCTCTTTCGAGAGGGACGGTATCAGAACAAGACGTGGGAATGGCTAAATATGCCGACGAAAAGGTAGTGGCACTCGTTAAGAGATTCTGACTGGCTCCAAGAACTGAGAAATGACGAAGATTTCAAGTCGATAATTGAATTCAATAGAAGCGCGCAAGGAAGATGACATCCCAATTATGCATCACGGTAAAAAGTTGACTTTGGCTGATTTTGCGCGAAATTTTCACAGAAGCGCATCACGGAACTATGGGTGGGCATTTCAATTCTAGGAAAATGTCATCTAATCTTGAAAAAGTAGCGTATTGGCCAGGGATGAGACAGGACATTGCAAAATGGTCCCAAGAATGCCAAAAGTGCTTTGTGCATAACACACATAAAGTAAATACTCCTCCGCTGAAGCCGGTTGTAGTTTCCAGGCCGTTCGAAATAGTTGGTATTGACTTGCTCGAGATGGGCTTATCGAGTCGCGGGAACAGATACATAGTCACGATCATAGACCACTTCACAAAATTTCTCGGAGCCTACCCAGTGCCAAACAAAAGAGCAGAAACAGTGGCAGAAGTTCTTTTCAGTCAGTGGATTTGCGGCGCAGGGAGGTGGCCAGAAATGGTGCTTTCAGATCGTGGGACTGAATTCGAGAATTCTGTCGTGACCGCATTATGTGAAATAATGGGCATTAAGCAAAAGTTTACCAAGGGTTACTGCCCCAGAGAAAATGGAATAACTGAGAGGGTAAACGGAACCATTATTCAGATGTTGAAGAAGAAGACGGTAGTGCCAGCTGAGTGGGATGTTATCCTCCCTACTGTCGTTTATGCCTACAATGCATGCCCGCATGAAGCAACCGGGGAGAGTCCCCATTTTCTTCTCTATGGACAGGACCCCAAGTACCCATCAGAAGTCATGCCTAGAGAGCACCTATCAGCTTGCACGGTGGACTACGACCACTACAAAACTGAGTTCTTATCAGGGTTGAAGCTTGCGCGTGAATGCATTATTTCTAACTCAGAGGAGTATCGGAAAAAGATGAAGGAGCAGTACGACAAACGGTTCAGAACTCATAAGGCAGTAGTTATCAAAGAAGGTGATCGTGTCTACGTGAAGATCCCATGTGAGAAGGGAAAGGTATCTCAC